GCTGATGGCTGTCATGGAGCACGCCTACTATGCCAGCTTTGGGTACCAGGTGACCAGCTTCTTTGCCGCCTCCAGTCGCTACGGCAGCCCCGAGGAGCTGAAAGAGCTGGTGGACACGGCCCACAGCCGAGGAATCACCGTCCTACTGGACGTCGTCCACAGCCACGCCTCCAAGAACACAGTGGACGGACTCAACCAGTTTGACGGGACCGGCTCCTGCTACTTCCACGACGGGGCCCGAGGCACGCACGACCTCTGGGACTCAAGGCTCTTCAACTACACACAGTGAGTTGTCTTATTGTGCTGCAAGTGCCGTAAAACACTTACTAAAACTAAACAGTGAGTTTGTCTTATTGTGTTGCAAGTGCCGTAAAACACTTACTAAAACTAAACACCCATCTGGTCAGCCAGTACAAAATAGCCCATCTGGTCAGCCAGTACAAAATACCCCATCTGGTCAGCCAGTACAAAATAGCCCATCTGGTCAGCCAGCCAGGAGAGTGATTAAACGTACTTCTCGGACCTGGGACAGAACTGCTGCAAGTGAACGGAATGGATAATTGTCACCGTCGCATTATCGCGGCTAGTGAACAGAATGGATAATTGTCACTGTCGCATTATCGCGACAAGTGAACGGAATGGATAATTGTCACCGTCGCATTATCGCAGCAAGTGAACGGAATGGATAATTGTCACCGTCGCATTATCGCAGCAAGTGAACGGAATGGATAATTGTCACCGTCGCATTATCGCAGCAAGTGAACGGAATGGATAATTGTCACTGTCGCATTATCGTGACAAGTGAACGGAATGGATAATTGTCACCGTCGCATTATCGCAGCAAGTGAACGGAATGGATAATTGTCACCGTCGCATTATCGCAGCAAGTGAACGGAATGGATAATTGTCACCGTCGCATTATCGCAGCAAGTGAACGGAAAGGATAAATGTCACCGTCGCATTATCGCAACAAGTGAATGGAATGGATAAATGTCACCGTCGCATTATCGCGACAAGTGAACGGAATGGATAATTGTCACTGTCGCATTATCGCAGCAAGTGACAGCAAAGTGTTGGAAAGCCTGGAGGAGAACGTGTAGTAAGTGTAAACATGAGAAGAAAGCAATGACTGGTCATGATATCTCCGCGTCATGAGGCACGGGGACTGATCCATTGGTTCTTTCCTTCTGCTCACCATCTTTCTTTGGTTGTCTCCCTGTTTTTGCAACGTTTTTGTGGGTGGTTGGTGGGTGCTCTGCTGTGGTTTACTTCTTCTTTCTTATCAAACATCTATCGTCCTTATCTCTCCTCATTTTTTGTGTATTTTGCTCTCTTGTAATACTTCTATTCTTCAGCACTTATATGACCTTATTGTGTTGCAAGTGCCGTAAAACTTTTACGAAAAACTAGCACGACTTTTCCAGGTGGGAAGTTCTGCGGTTCCTGCTGTCTAACCTGCGCTGGTGGGTGGAGGAGTACCAATTTGACGGCTTTCGCTTCGACGGAGTGACGTCCATGCTGTACCACACCCACGGGATGGGTGAGTTGTTACCAGCATTAGCGGTTGGTTGAGAAGAAGATTCTAAGTGCTTGTGTAGATTTTGGAGTTTGTTATCATGGAATCATTATTCCATCAAAAAGATGACAAAGTCGTGTCATACCTTGCGCTGTCTTCCAGCAAAGTTGGCACTCATTTGGGGATTGAACAAGTTTTTAAAATGCCCTTGACAAAACCAAAAACAACTAACCACAATGAAAAGTCCAGGATGTCCTCCATTTTGGAGCATTTTTTCCCCACATACAGTCACAAAATGTATTTTTGGACAGATGTAATGTATAAAATCATCTCATGAGACCCCAGATGTATAAAATCATTTCATGAGCCCCCCAATGTATAAAATCATCTCATGAGACCCCAGATGTATAAAATCATTTCATGAGCCCCCCAATGTATAAAATCATCTCATAAGCCCCCCAATGTATAAAATCATCTCATTAGCCCCCCAATGTATAAAATCATCTCATGAGCCCCCAATGTATTAAATCATCTCATGAGCCCCCCAATGTATAAAATCATCTCATGAGCCCCCCAATGTATAAAATCGTCTCATGAGCCCCCAGATGTAATATGGGGGCTCTTGTGGCCTAGAGCTTAAGGTGTTGGCCTCTCTTTCAAAGGTCCCGGGTTAGAATCCGGGTAGCGACTGAACATTTTTTTGGTCTAAAATTGTTTCCTTTCACCCCCTTTCCTGCTCTCAAGCAATGTTCTGTTGTCTGCTTTCGTCTCCACTTTCTGCCCCCACAACCTCATCTCCTTTGCCCCCTCCTCTGGGCTCCTGGTTCTTTCTGCAGCCTTTCTACTGCTACTCCTTGGCTCTCTCTTACTGCTGTCTTTCTGCCACACCCCTGATCTTCTAATAGGAAAGATCCACACTTACCATTCTCGAATAAGGGCAAAAAATCTCGGAAGTTCTGTGTGCAAGTTGCGCACGTTAAAGATCCCTTGGTGGTCCAAAACCGATAAGAGTAGGCTTCGACTGCCACCCAGGCAAAATTTTAAATTCCCTAGCAACTGAAAATGTTTAATGTGTCCTGCGCGCTCACATGACCTTAAGGAGCTGCGAGCGCCGTAAAACACACACACAAAATAGAGCAGGTTCTAGTGTCTCCTCCCCACCCCCCAGGCCATGGGTTCAGCGGGCACTACGACGAGTACTTTGGCCTCAACACCGACACAGAGTCCCTGGTCTACATGATGACTGCCAACCACATGCTGCACAGCCTCTACCCTGAGTTTATGGTCACCGTGGCCGAGGTCTGAGGTCTTTCTTCTCCGTTGTCTGTTTTGTCACTCATAGATATCCCATCTTTCTTCTCCGTTGTCTGTTTTGTCACTCATAGATATCCCTTCTTTCTTCTCCGTTGTCTGTTTTGTCACTCATAGATATCCCTTCTTTCTTCTCCGTTGTCTGTTTTGTCACTCATAGATATCCCATCTTTGTTCTCCGTTGTCTGTTTTGTCACTCATAGATATCCCATCTTTGTTCTCCGTTGTCTGTTTTGTCACTCATAGATATCCCTTCTTTCTTCTCCGTTGTCTGTTTTGTCACTCATAGATATCCCTTCTTTCTTCTCCGTTGTCTGTTTTGTCACTCATAGATATCCCATCTTTGTTCTCCGTTGTCTGTTTTGTCACTCATAGATATTGCTGCTTTTTACCCTTCCAGTCCCAGCCATTTTGGTGCACTCCCTAACCCCAGCCCCAGCCATTTTGGTGCACTCCCTAACCCCAGCCCCAGCCATTTTGGTGCACTCCCTAACCCCAGCCCCAGCCATTTTGGTGCACTCCCTAACCCCAGTCCCAGGCAATACAGCAGTATTTCAGAAAAAGAGGCATGCATTCTAAAAAGGGATGTAGTATCTTTGTAATGAGGTTTTGATAATATCTAACAATGTTTAAAGGTAAATGAACAAATATTATAAAAATTAAAGTTTAATTACATTCACTGCCATTTCAAATTTGGTACCCACCGAAACTGAGAATATACGCTCTTGGGACAGTGGGAGGTACAAGCGCTGCTGAAAATGTCTGCGTGTAGGGATGGAAGGGTTAAAATCTGAATTTGGACTGCTCTGTGTAGGTCAGAGTCTTACTCTGAGCAGGCAATGTAAGCTTTGTCACTTTTGTTACTTTCAACCATTCTGATTTGCCAAGTAAATCCAAGCCGTGTTTTGAGCCAACTTGAAAAGAACCAATGTGTGTCCTTGTCCGGCACGCTCATTTCACCTTTCAACTTACAGACCGAATGACTCATTTCACCTTTCAACTTACAGACCAAATGACTCATTTGACCTTTCAACTTACAGACCGAATGACTCATTTGACCTTTCAACTTACAGACCGAATGACTCATTTGACCTTACGACTAATGACTCATTTGACCTTACAACTAATGACTCATTTGACCTTTCAACTTACAGACCGAATGACTCATTTGACCTTACAACTAATGACTCATTTGACCTTACAACTAATGACTCATTTGACCTTACAACTAATGACTCATTTGACCTTTCAACTTACAGACCTAATGACTCATTTGACCTTTCAACTTACAAACCTAATGACTCATTTGGTCTTTCAAACTTACAAACCTAATACATTTGGTAGAAGAAAGGGGCCTGCAATAGATGTTGACAAGTGGGTCGTTGGTGGGTGCTCAGCTGTGGTTTGCTACTTCTTTCCTATCAAACATCTGTCGTCCTTATCTCTCCTCTTTCTGTTTTGTGTTTGTTACTCTCTTGTAACACCTCTAATCTTCGGCACTTCTACGACCTTATTGTGTTGCAAGTGCCGTAAAACGTGACTATACTCCAATGTTGACCTTGCTGTGGTTGCCAGGAGGTGTCTGGGATGCCGCTGCTGTGTCGCCCGCTGCTGGAGGGGGGCGGCGGCTTCGACTACAGGCTGGCCATGGCTATACCCGATGTCTGGATCAAGGTAGGTGTTCTGTGACGTCTGACGTCTGTCTGTGACGTGTTCTGTGACGTCTGACATCTGTCTGTGACGTGTTTTGTGACGTCTGACGTCTGTCTGTGACGTGTTCTGTGACGTCTGACGTCTGTCTGTGATGTGTTCTGTGACGTCTGGATCAAGGTAGGTGTTCTGTGACGTCTGACGTCTGTCAGTGACGTGTTCTCTGACATCTGTCTGTGATGTGTTCTGTGACGTCTGTCAGTGACGTGTTCTGTGACGTCTGTCAGTGACGTGTTCTGTGACGTCTGACGTCTGTCAGTGACGTGTTCAATGACGTCTGTCAGTGACATGTTCTGTGACGTCTGTCAGTGACGTGTTCTGTGACGTCTGTCAGTGATGTGTTCTGTGATGTCTGTCAGTGATGTGTTCAGTGACGTCTGTCTGTGATGTGTTCTGTGACGTCTGTCAGTGACGTGTTCTGTGACGTCTGTCTGTGATGTGTTCTGTGACGTCTGTCAGTGATGTGTTTTGTGATGTCTGTCAGTGACGTGTTCAGTGACGTCTGTCTGTGATGTGTTCTGTGACGTCTGTCAGTGACGTGTTTTGTGACGTCTGTCAGTGATGTGTTTTGTGACGTCTGTCAGTGATGTGTTCTGTGATGTCTGTCAGTGATGTGTTCAGTGACGTCTGTCTGTGACGTCTGTCAGTGACGTGTTCTGTGATGTCTGGATCAAGGTAGCGACACTGACTGGCTTTCGGGCTGTTCTGCCATAAGCTGAGAAAACGCCCTTTTTCCATTTTGACACCAACATTTTTAATTTGCTAAATTGAAAGCCTGATCAGTTACCCTCAGTGCTTCCTCTCTTCCGTATTTTTACGGAAGTCCGTGCTTTCTGCTAGTTCCGTACTTGTTCCTCCATCCTTATCAACTCCCTCCGTAAAAATCTGCGACAGCATAGGTCTATCGACATTCAGTAGCAAAAGATCCGTACTTGCCTTCGTATTGTCTTGTATAAGTTACGGATATTTACGGTAATTCTCTCGGCAATAGTTTATGTTATAGAAACTGCCAGATTGCGCATTTCCTGCAATCGGCCATTATGCCGCTGTGCCCCATGCATTCATTGCGGGTTGGTCGGCAGTACTACATTTTTTACCTGCAGATTGATCAAAATCTGGCGAACTTTTTGTGCCACTTTCCTCCTTTCTATTTCTATCATTCCCTCATTCCCTCATTCCCTCATTCCCTCATTCCCTCATTCCCTCATTCCCTCATTCCCTCATTCCGTCTGTCTATCTTTGGATTGTTGTTGCGTCTGGAAAATCTACGCGTTGATCGAGTAAATTGACTTGTGATCTCAGACAGAAAATTACTGTCAGAAAGAAACTTTTTGAGCAGATTTATTGTCTAGATCTAGAGAAATTATGCGTGCAAAGATTCTACGCCAGGGGTACGCGATAAGGGCCGCGATGAAACTAAAATCAAGAATAATTGGAAGTGGTGTTCCGAGGTTGTGACATGCGACGATCAGACATGAAAATTGAGGAAAATTAGGGTATATGCTGGGCACAGAATTCTACACTTATAGAACGGGAACTGTACCACGTGACCTGTGAGGAATTGAAGACCGAAAACAATGGCGTCTTGAGGGCACTATTTATCGTTTTCGGAAGTAACCCTATAGCTTTTAAAGCAAGAGCGGCTTTTACAAACGAGTGAAAAGTGGACCATTTACTGTCCAGTTTGTAATTTTGAGTTACAGAATTCACTGGGCAACTAGAGATTGGAATTAAGGTTTTAAATTGTTGTGTTTTGGAGTGCAACAACAGAAAAAGCAGACATACAGAGTTTATATAGATATATATAAGATCTACAGAACTGAAAAAAATTCATAGCACTTCTAGCTTCCCACACACATTTTGCATACGCATATGGCCTACGTAGTTTTTTAGTAGTAAAACTTATTACAATAAATTTGTTTTACACTGAACATATTTTTTCACTAGATCTAATTAATGTTCTCAAAACAGGCGTTCAATAATTAGCTTTATGTCGCCAGCAGAAGTAGAAAAAAGGACGGACTTGCTTTTAAAAGAGATTTAGCTCCAGCTATAAACTTTTTAAAAATCTGTAGAAACCATTGACTGGGATTTTTTTTTTTATATATTGGGCTAGTATTTATTAAAGAATTTTCTTTAAAGAAATTTCTAGAATAATATAGAACATAGATGTGTACAAATGTTTGAAAAAAATACTCATCGGTTAAGACGAATTGATATAGATCTAAGTCATTGTGTAAAAGTAGGAGAATCTAGATCTAGGTGTTTGATAGTTCAGTAGCCTAGATATTTGATAATAAGTTGCGCATCAAATTTTTGACCGCATGCTACAGTAGTGAAGATAGCGTATTATTTTCATCCGAAACATTAATTTCCGCATCCATACACCTTTTTGAGCCTTTATAAGCACATGTAGTCCTACTTTAATTATGTTTTTGTTTTTGAAAGCATTTTCAATTCCTTTCACTTTCACTTTCCACGCGCTGGCACATATAATTATGATTATACTTTAAGATTCCAAATCTGACGAATGTATTATTAAATAGTGTATAATGCTGAGTTAGCCAATGCATTGCAATGCGCACTATTATCAATTGATCGAATTGTAACAAGACTTCAATTTGATCCGTAACAAGAGACCACTTATTTTTTTATACGTGTTCATGAATGTGTGTTTGTTTACTGTGTGCGGGGATTAAAAATTAAAGATTAAAGATTCCAGATCTGACGAATGTATTTATAAAATAGCGTAATAGTGCTGGGTTAGCCGATGCCTTGTGATACTTGCTTTTATCAATTAATTGATTTGTAACAGGACTTCGATTTGATCCGTAACAAGACAACACTTATTTTTTCTTATACGTGTTTAAAAATGTGTGTTTGTTTACTGTGTGCGGGCATTAAAGATTCCAGGTCTGACGAATGTATTTATTAAATAGCATATAGGCCTATAGGGCAGGGGTGGCCAACGCATTGCGATACGCACTTTTATCAATTGATCGAATTGTAACAAGACTTCAATTTGATCCGTAACAAGAGGCCACTTATTTTTTATACGTGTTCATGAATGTGTGTTTGTTTACTGTGTGCGGGGATTAAAAAGTAAAGATTAAAGATTCCAGATCTGACGAATGTATTTATAAAATAGCGTAATAGTGCTGGGTTAGCCAATGCCTTGCGATACGCGCTTTTATCAATTAATTGAATTGTAACAGGACTTCGATTTGATCCGTAACAAGACAACACTTATTTTTTCTTATACGTGTTCAAAAATGTGTGTTTGTTTACTGTGTGCGGGCATTAAAGATTCCAGGTCTGACGAATGTATTTATTAAATAGCATATAGGCCTATAGGGCAGGGGTTGCCAACGCATTGCGATACGCATTTTTATCAATTAATCGAATTGAAACAGGACTTCAATTTGATCCGTAACAACAGACCACTTATTTTTTCTTGTTCGTGTTCCAAAATATGTGTTTGTTTACTGTGTGCGGGGGGGGGACAAGCCCATCCCCTCGACATGTGATCCAGAGTATGGGGATACATTTTTCTCAAAATGCACACAGCTCTGAAATCCTTGACCAGTGATCACTCGCCATGGAACTCTTTCTGTTGTGACTGTAGACACAAGTTTCTTCATTATCACATCTGAATGAGCCTCTCATTCATGCATTAGAAATCACACTCCCAACACACAGAAAATGACTTTGAACATATATTCAGGAAACATATGCCAGTTCCACTCTTGTTTACTTTGTTTTGCATTATTGGCTTTTATGTGTAAAACAATATTTAGAGGCCTTTTCTGCATTTTTGTGTTTTTGGCAGCATGTACAATAGGCCTATGTATTTTATGCGCAACCGACACATTCTCCAATCGTAGATCTAGTACTAATCAAGACTATATCTAGATACTTTTCCAACAGAGTTAATGTTCATAATTAGTGTTATTATCAAGTGTATTGTGATTGTGAAGATCTTTAGTAGATCTAGATCTAGTAGCAGATCTAGAGATCTAGATCTATCTAGATCTAGATCCCATCCCATCCCATCATTAAAAAAACAACAACAAACCAACAATACAGATACAAAAACATTGTAACATTGCCAATTATGACATATTGTTGGCAGTAAAAATGTACTAGACTATTTCACTATATTTCCTCTTCGAAGAAAGTTTTAAAATACTGATGTAACATTAATGTAAGGTGTCTTCCAAACCCTACCACTAGCATCAGCGTGCATAGCAACGCGAAGCCTCACTGTGCGGCGCAGCCAAAGGTGCCCTCAACTGGCCGCCATGTTTTAGTTTCAATTCCTCACAGCGAATCGACGATCGCGAAGAGGGAGTTCCGCTTCTATAAGTGTAGAATTCTGTGATGCTGGGTAACTGTATTGTGAAGGTAGGCCTACATATCTATTCATTATTCCCAGGTTTGCCTTCCATCAATGGTGCGATGACAAATTTATTGAATTATAGATCTAGATCTTGTAGCAATAAATTGAGGGCAAGCGAGGCAGGGGTAGGCCCAGAACAACCTATTTAGGGAATCTAAACAAATGGGTAACAGGGAAAGATCAGGGAAACGTAGCTTTTTTGAGAGCATCTGAGTTAAGGAATGAATGGAGAACCATGATCGCTGATGTCTGTCGCAGATCTGGCACTGGATGATGATAGCAGCAATGGAAGGGGAACCTGCTTTAAAACATTGCCAGCAATGGAAAGATAATCAAACAAGACAAAATCTTTGTGAAAAAATAGGTAGTATGGGTTGTAGGCCATCTCTTCAAACAGGCTCCCAAATGCCATTTTCAACCCTCTAAAAGCTCTACATTTCAATTTCTTTGGGGGATTCACCCCCTGAACCCCCACCGGGACGCTGTCCCTGGACCCTGCTGGGGGCCTCTGCAACCCCCAGACCCCCGGCACAATTTTCCTGACTGTTCAGCTTCAGGTGGTGGAAGGACTGTACCCTACTTGTGGGAAAAAGATCAAAGTGAAACTGTGACTAGTTTTGGGAACAATTAGAATTCATGTTTGGGAAGAACTCTATTTTTCAATGGCTACGCTATGAGTCCTTGAAAACATAAGATTACATGTTTTGTGCTTTAAAACAGGGTTTTTCCGTCAAATTCACAGGGAAATGTTAAATGTGTTTTCATAGAAACATAGAAGGTGTTCAGCCAAAAAACAACATTTTGATAACAATTGCCAAACTGATGGGAAAATGCCTGTTTGTTCTCGAGTCAAACCGCGTCACCGCGCACCTGTTTGTTCTATCTGATTATCTTGACGAGTGCCTGATTTCACCACGAGGTCTCCCATTTTCCCGCCAGGTGTTGAAGCACACGTCTGATGAAGACTGGAACCTGGACTCCATCGTGCACACGCTGGTCAACCGGCGCTACGCGGAGAAGTGCATCGCCTACGCGGAGAGCCACGACCAGGCTTTGGTGGGGGACAAGACCATCGCCTTCTGGCTGATGGACAAAGAGATGTACACGCACATGTCCGTTCTGTCGGGGGACAATGTGGTCGTGGACCGAGGCATGGCGCTGCACAAGATGATCCGACTCATCACTATTGGCCTCGGAGGAGAGGCCTATCTCAACTTTATGGGTACGTCTCTCATTGTTTTTTCATTTGTTCGTCTCTCGTTGTCTTTTCATTTGTACGTCTCTCGTTGTCTTTTCATTTGTACGTCTCTCGTTGTCTTTTCATTTGTTCGTCTCTCGTTGTCTTTTCATTTGTTCGATTACCCTATCTCAACTTTATACGTCTGTCTCTCATTGTCTTTTGTACGTCTGTCTCTCATTATCTTTTCATTTGTTCCAATACCCTATCTCAACTTTATCGTCTGTCTCTCCTTCTCTTTTGTAGGTCTGTCTCTCCTTCTCTTTTGTAGCTCTGTCTCTCCTTCTCTTTTGTAGCTCTGTCTCTCCTTCTCTTTTGTAGGTTTGTCTCTCCTTCTCTTTTGTAGATCTGTCTCTCCTTCTCTTTTGTAGGTCTGTCTCTCCTTCTCTTTTATAGGTCTGTCTCTCCTTCTCTTTTGTAGGTCTGTCTCTCCTTCTCTTTTGTAGGTCTGTCTCTCCTTCTCTTTTG